GGCGGCGCTCCGCTGTCCGCATGCTCATGATCGCCAGGCCCTCTGGACCCGGAGCCGCCACGGCCAATGTTGGATAACGTCGAGAGCGAAAATGATACGTCCGTGCCGGAAGTACCTGACGCAGAGCCAGGATGCGAATATATGCGATATTTGTAGTTCGGCATCTGAAGAATACCGAGATGCGGTGACAATTCTTTCCCAACATCCACCAACAATTGCTTAAGCGTGTCAACTTGACTGGAGTCTTCCACGTCAAAGTCGGTATCACAAAAGATGTGTGCGCACTCGGCGATAGAGTCACCTTCCAAAGAACTGTGGTCCGAGCACAGATCTTCCTCGTCAAATGCGGCTGTGAGCAGAACATGATCCATGGAAAGCCCAACCTTGCGGTCGAAAATCGCGTAGATTTCATCCTGATGCATGAGAAGATGCTGGTGAACATGAACGGGGAAGATGGGTCGAGCAGACACGGTACAACTCGATGGTTCTGGGATGGGGGATGCGCCGACTGATGCAGTCACGGACGCAGGAATGGGACCTTCTGAGGGCTTACCATCCGCGACTTGGGAGATTTGTATGCCGCGGAGTGTAGTAAGAATGGCAGCTGCAGAGGGGCGGTCTCTTGGAGAAGTAGAAAGGCAAGACAAGACCAACTGCCAGAGCTCATCCGAAGGAAGAATATGAACTGGCGGCCGGGGTGGCTTCTGTTTGGACACAAGAACGTTGAGAAGCACTGCCGCGTCAGTCTTGATATGAGAGAACGGAGGCTGTCCTGTGTATATCTATGAAACATTAAATGCATGTGTCACGATGAGTAACATGGACGAGTTACCTCGAGAATGGTGCACCCGAATGAGTATATATCCTTCGCCGTCACGTATGAGTGGTCAAAGAGCGAAGTATCCATCATCTCGGGGGCCATCCATCGAGCAGCGCCCCGCGATATCAAATCCTCATCGTACACCTCCAGGGAATCTGTGATGAAACTGCCACTGAAGCCAGCCAGGCGGCAGTGCAGGTCGTCGTCAACAAGAATTTTTGACTATGGGAAATATGAACTATAAGTGAAAGGGATTGTGAGCAATGGGAAATCACATACACCTTTGATCCCTCCATGAACGATCTGGGGATCCAACTCGTGCAAGTATTGAATACCTTGAGCAATTTCACAGACCTAGCAGTGTCAGGTAACCTATAGCACGACTTTAGGAAGAACGTACTGCTTGTAGATGGTCATGTGCCGGGTTTCTTTTGAGGAATGATACAATAATGCCATTTTCCATCCATAGAGATATCAGGCAGAAGCTAGGAGCAAACAAATCATTGTCAACCCCAAGAAAAGGGAGTACATTACGATGACGGAGCTGCCTCCAGACCATCGCTTCGCGACAGTAATCCTTCCTAAGACGCAATTCCGAGTCTTCTCTCCCACTGCCAGTGAGGAACAGTCGCAGAACCTTAAGACAAACTTTCTTTCCCTCCATGGTCCCTTCCCATGTATCCTGCAGCGCTGTGAGCCAGAACCCAGATATAACAAACATCGCTAACCGCAAATCCTCCACCTGACACAGGAAAGGCTCCGTTACAGCTTACGTTCCGGCAGAAGAAAGCAGTGGGTACGATATCATGATGCTTCCCAAAAACACGCAGGCATTTCATGCATGTCGTGCGGTACCGCTCATTGGACGGCCCAGCATCCAGTTCCTATTTTTGAGGCATGTTTTAGGTGTGGGAAAGTAATCAAGGACAATCACGTACATCCTGAAGGAAATCCATTAACTGTTGTGCTGCATTCGGCCGAACTAATTCAATTCCTTTCCATGGCTCGTCAGAGATCCGTAAAATGCGCAACACTTCCTGAAAAAGCGCCCAAGGATTGTCGTATGGAAGCTCGGACCACTCCGTCTAAAGGGGCGAACAGACAATAGCGTGTAATGTCAATGACGAAAGGATGCCAGACATGGGAGTGCGCACCGCTACAATATGATTGCGTTCACCTAGCAAGTCCCACTGAAGGTAAGCGCATCATCAGCGGAAGACTAAACGAAGACAAGACAGGGAACTACGCACCACTACGAGCTGATAGTGCTTTCCGAGTTCGCGAATACATTCTCTACACGCCTCGCAATATACCTCATCTTTCACAGTGTATACCTCCTATCACCGCAATTCGTTTTTAGCTCTGGCGGTCAAGCAATGGAGAGAAAATCACACACGTTCTGAAAAAATTCCATCAAATGAGAGGCTATATCCAACTTGACTGATTCGATTCCTCTCCATGGCTGATCAACGGTCCGCAAGATATGCAGGACCTCCCTTGTAGTGGCCCAAGGATCATCGGTAGGTAGCTGGGACCAGTGGGGAGGAGATTGGAGACTTTCAGGGTGACGGTGTCGCTTCAAGAGGACGTGCCCACGGACGGGACGGATGAGAGGCCCCATGGATGGATGGAAGGAAGGAAGACGTGGGAGTGTACAGCTTGACAGCTTTAGTACTGGATCAGGTATGTCACGGGCGATATATCAAGTCCCACGAGGCCGAGCCATGCGCTGCACGTCAATAGAGGGCCGCAGATGCGATGTTGGCGGCGATAGTAGGCATGCCCTCGTCATGTAGGTTATACGGCAGGCTGTCGTACTACGCGCAGGCCCAATTTCGCCAGCGACCGTTATGGTTGGAAGCTGTGTTTGGTCTTATGTACGTGACATGATCGACCTTGTTCCCTCCAATGATCACCACACTTTTATTCCTGCATGGTTGCCCTTCTTCTTCTCGACTTGCTATGTCATTCAAATGGCCACCTAGACAAGCCAAGCGGCTCTGTCACGGGCGAAGAAGCCTGCCTACACGAGGCGAGCCATTCATAGCGCGGCTTGGAACGACTTTCTGTTATCTCCGGGCCTCGCCGTAAGTATAGAAAGCTGCGGGTACGTGTTAGGCTGTCATACTACTACTAACGTACTGTAGCGTTTCGACCGTAACTTCACAGCCTGTGACCCGTTATGGTCTGAAGTTACAGCAAACAGCTTCACAGACCCTTAAATTGCCTTATTTGGACAGTCCTGCCTATGACGGGACCTGAAATTTCCCTATTTGGAGGCTCGTGCCTGGCCGAAGTGGTCCGTGATCCGTTATGGTGTATATATAGCTTCACTTCAAAGATCCCCGTGACCCGTTATGTAAATTTGCGGTCGAAACACTACAGTACTCCCAGTCTCTCACACGCTCATGCCAGCAACCGTCATGCTTTGGTCTTATATACGCGCGGTGTTGTGTGGGTCAAGGTCCGCGGTCAAAAGTCATACCAAAACAAGTAATCCGGTCTGAAGGTCAATTGAACGGGATCCTGACTTGAACTTTCTCATGGCGGCGGCTTTATTCGGACCGGCGGGCCCACGCTCCGATCCTTGTGATCAGTATCGCAGTTCTTCTCCTCTCCACCATCTTCGTCTCCTCCCACCATCACCTGAAAATTTTCACTCTTTTGCACGTCTCTTTGTCTACCGGTACACTGAAAACCCATATAGTCTTATCTATGTAGTCTGTGGTTAGGAATGCACTTCGTCTCCTCCCACCATCGAGTGAAAATTTTCACTGTTTTGTAAGTCTCTTTCTCTAATATGCGACATGTTTCCCCTACTACTACGCGACTCCGAACACGAGATTCTCCTTACACTGGCGCGGACGTCTTCCCAGCCCCTCCAATCATTGTGTCTGCCAGCTTATATCACACCTGCCCTCTTCCGACTACTGAATGGTCATTAACTTTCACGTTCTGTGGCCGCGGGTCGGCGTCTTCTCCATTCTTCTCCTTCTGCGACGACTTTCCGCTCGACTATGATTGTCTCTTCCTACGTCGATTGTCTCTTCCTACGTCGTTTTCTTCTTGCTAGGCGTAGTCCACGTTGTCCTAAAAATTGCCGAATCGGTCATTGAAGGCATCATAGACGGTGTTAGCGAAGACAACGAGGTCTGTCCTTCCGCTCGCTGCTCCTTCCACTTGCCACTTACCGCCGATGCAGACTGCACCAAAGACATCGTCGGCAGCATTCCTCCTTTGACTATACCATCGTCCATACTGGCCACACAACAGACTTGGATAGAGTCAAGAGAGTCACAGATATTAAGAGCTATGTCTCAACATCGGGGGCACCGTTGGGTAAGTAGCCGTGGTTCGATAGGCGTGTTCAAGATGCTAACGGAGGTATGTCTAGAGCTGGATGGTTTGGGATGGTTTACATTGACCGGTGACGGTGTGTTTCTTGTTCCATGGGAGTGTTGCTGTAGTGGTCCTTCGTCGGAAAGTCGAACAGCATCGCCGATACAGGAACCTTAGGATGTAGCTTCACGAACGCGGTCTTTATACATGCACTCGCGATAACGAGGTTTGCATATTAAGTTGAGGTCTTGTTGAGCCACCATTTGTTTAGCCGATAACTGTGGCCAATGTACTCCCTTGGAAGGTAGTAGGAGTTGGAGGGTTGGCCATGGCACCTCCTCTCGCGCGTAGGAACCACAAACCTGCTCTCGGTAAAGACGGACACTATGGATTGAAAGCCTTAGCCTACCATCCTTCTTAGCTCAGTGGTAGAGCGCGTCACTAGTATGCAACATGCGGCTCATAGTCATGACGAGGTCAGTCGTTCAGTCGGCTAGAGGGAATGCGTGACCGTAGCATGTTCTTTTGCTCCGCACTCGAAACGTCTAAGCTATATAGGCATGCTGTTAGAATTCGTGGCCAAGACGATACGAGGACACTACTACTACAACGATACAAACTTTGTCTGTAAAAGAATACAAGGAAGACTGCAATCGAAGACTCAAGTACTCACGCCACGCCCCGCAACTCCGGAGGGAAGAAAAGGATACAGTTCACAAGTGTCTGGTCATTAGCGTACATGTATATGTCATCGGGAGACAACTAGCCTTAGATTTTGAGAAGGACCGTCAACAAAGACTGTAGTTCACCTTCGACCCTGTGATGGTGGCGGCGGGCAGTATCCCTGTTAGCTCGGTGGTAGAGCGCGTCACTAGTATGCAGCAGAGCAGATATGCGTACAAAGACGAGGTCAGTCGTTCAAGTCGACTGGAGGGAATGTGCGCCGGCGCCAATTGTGCCTTGATACTGTGCCAATTTCATGGCTTCCCCTCAGCGCTACCTACTGACTCTATCCCTCTTAACTCAGTGGTAGAGCGCGTCACTAGGAACGGTGATACAACTGCACTATAGTCGTTCGGGTTGGCTAGAGGGATGTAGGATGGTTTCGCTCTGATTTTTGCGCAAGATGTGCCGGTCTTGTGGGGCTCTCTTTTCACCAATACATATGAGGAGCACCACCCCGACGATGGAAATCTAGTCTGAAAGTTCAAAGAATACGAGGTGCGAACCCAAAGGATGGTCCTGGATGCGATGGGATTCCATTGAAGTCAGTAGCCTAGGCTTGCATGCTCATATGATTTCGAGAAGAATTGCCAACAGTTGCTGAACGTGGTGTAGTCTCTATGCTGCGCAGCGGACTAAATGTGCTATTTTGTTGTGTCCAATGACTCTCAGTTTCTCTTGTGAGTCAATCATCGAGAAAGAGTGTAGTTCATTCAGCTTCGACCCCGGCCTGATGGTGGCAGCAAACCCATGACAGCATCCCTCTTAGCTCAGTGGTAGAGTGCGTCACTAGTATATGGTGTTGTGCTTATGACGAGGTCAGTCGTTCAAGTCGGCTAGAGGGAATACAACATCTGCCAGTGACTGACAACTGAATTTTTTTTGCTCCGGACTCAAACTGAATCAAAGGCATGCTGTTAGAATTCGTGGACAAGACACTACTACGACGATACAAGATTTGTCTGTGAAAGAATACGAGGAAGACTGCAATCGCCACGCAACTCTGCATACGACGAAGAAAAGGTGTCTGGTCATTACTAGCCGATATGTATATGTTATCGGGAGACAACTAGCCTTGCGTGCTCGCATGATTTCGAAAAGGATTGTCAACAAAGAATCCAAGTAGTTGACCATCAACCCTGTGATGGTGGCGGGTACTGTAGCGTTTCGACCGCAAATTCACATAACGGGTCACGGAGGTCTTTGAAGTGAAGCTATATATACACCATAACGGGTCACGGACCACTTTGGCCAGGCACGAGCCTCCAAATAAGGAAATTTCAGGTCCCGCCATAGGCGGGACTGTCCAAATAAGGCAATTTAAGGGTCTGTGAAGCTGTTCGCTGTAACTTCAGACCATAATGGGTCACAGGCTGTGAAGTTACGGTCGAAACGCTACAGTAGTGTCCCTCTCAGCTCGGTGGTAGAGCGCGTCACTAGTATCCAACATCCGCGCCATTTCACTTATGATGAGGTCAGTCGTTCAAGTCGACTAGAGGGAATGTGTACAGTGTATTCTGTTTTTGCCGAAGATCTTCTAGAGACTGTGGCGCATTTTATGGCTTTATTACCTACTGATTCTGTCCCTCTTGACTCAGTGGTAAAGCGTGTCGCTAGGAACGGCGACACGGCTGCAAGTTGTTCAGGTCAGCTAGAGGGAAGTAGTAAGGGCATGTAGTTGGGCAAGATAAGGATTCGTCATGGGAAGGGTACGAAGTCAGGCTTCAGCTATACAGCGGGGCCGACTGCCAAATGTGCATTTTGACACCCTCCCGTGTCCAATGATTAAAGAGTTCATTCACCCTCGACCCTCTGATGGTGGGGACAAAACAATGTGTAGTATCCCTCTTAGCTCGGTGGTAGAGCGCGTCACTAGTATGTAGAATAAGACTCATAGTTATGACGAGGTCAGTCGTTCAAGCCGACTAGAGGGAATGCGTGGGAGCGCCGCGTTCTGTTTTGCCAAAGAACTGTGGCGCATTTTATGGCTTCTATCCAGTGGGGGAGTGTGTCACTATAAAGTGGCGACCGAGGACTGATACGATGTGATTTTACAAAGGAGAAAAGGGTTCAGTCAACTTGTCAGTTGATGGACCCAGGACAACTAGCCGTGCAAGGACCATCGCTGGACGCATGGTCTCTATGCTGCGCGGCGGACTGAATGTGTATTTCGCACCCTCCCGTTTGTGTCCAATGACTCTCAGTTTCGCTTGCCAATCTTGAGAAACCCATCCCGATGGTGGTGGCAGCAAAACAGTTGGTAGTATCCCTCTTAGCTCGGTGGTTGAGTGCGTCACTAGTATGTAGAATAAGACTCATAGTTATGACGAGGTCAGTCGTTCAAATCGACTAGAGGGAATGTGTGAGGCGTCGCGTCTGTTTTGCCTTGATGTTGTGACACATTTTATGGCTTCCTCGCAGCGCTAAGTACCTACTGACTCTATCCCTCTTAACTCAGTGGTAGAGCGCGTCGCTAGGAACGGCGACACAACTGCAAGTCGTTCAGGTCGGCTAGAGGGAAGTGGGTAGTGTCGTTCATTCACCTTCGACCCGATCCTGGTGGCGGCAAAACAACGGGAAGTATCCCTCTTAGCTCAGTGGTAGAGCGCGTCACTAGTATACATAGCCCCCCTAGTCTAGGTATGACGAGGTCAGTCGTTCAAGTCGGCTAGAGGGAATCATATTATTTGGATGAATTTTACAAGTTTTCCTGATACTGTGGCGCATTTTCTGATCTTGCTATTCCGTTTTGCTGTTCGTACCCAAGGACCGCCTCGTGTGACAGGATCACTACCAAAGAGGCGCGCGGCCGTGGTGTAGGCTTTTGCGATTTTTCTCAATACAGGGGATTCTTAACGACTAGCGAGTGTCGTAGGCAGACAAAGGAGAAAAGCATCGGGTCATCAGCATGTCGTCGTAAGGTTACAACTAACTACGCGGTATATACCTTGGATGGCGCGTCTTGGATCGAGTCGGAAATGTGGATGCTAAGGATTGCATTGCATACACCATGGATCATACATGCGACATATTTTGATTACTACCCTAGTAGACGTATCCCAAGAGCTTGCCACCGACGTTCTTGCGACGGGCCTCTTCGTGGTCGAGGATACCAGAGGACGTGGTCTACAAGGAAGGACGTTAGCTGGATAAGGAACTAGGTGGAAAAAACATACAAGGATGATTATCCCGAAACCTCTACTGGGGAGGAGCAAGTTGACCCAGCTCTCGATCTGGGTGACCTGGACGTTGAAGCGGGGAGAGATGACGCCGGTTTTGTTGAGGCGGCCGTTGAGCTCGATGACGATCTTGCCGGAGCGGTGGTCGTCGATGATGGTGAATTCGCCGATCTGGTGGGTGTGCGGGTTAGCGGATGTGAGGTGGGTGGATGGGGGCGGAGACGTACGTATCCGTGGCGCTGCATGACGGACAGGAATTTGACGACGACCTTGGAGGAGGGGCGGATGAGCACCTGGCGCTTGCCGCGGCGCTCGGCGTTGACGATGTTGTTCTAGCGAGAGGGGTTAGTATGAATTCGGGCGTAGGCAGTAAAACGCACCAAGCAATCATTGAGGACAGAGACGCGGACCATTTTGCAGTGGTATGTTCAAAGCAAGTATGGCTAGCTTTTTCTATAAAATTCGTTAGCTGCCCGGGGAGTGTCCCATGGGATTCGACCGGGCATCGAGGAGCGCAGCGCACGCACTGGAGGGTGTAACTTGAAGACAACAGACAGAGGGAAACTTGATCGGCAAACAAATCTTGGGTGGGCGCGTGGGAACATGACATCAGCAACTGGCAAGCCACCCGGGGGATGCCGATGGCCGATTTTCGATCTCTCTCCTCGTCGTGAACGCTAGCCAAGGCATAACAAGACATCAAGCAACATGGTGCGTGTCCATCCCGCCCCCGTCGTCGCTGATGCCTACGTATTGTATTGCGTAGGGCCGAGTCCGCACCAAGACGACCAAGCGCGCGAGCCGAGTGCTCATCGAAAAGTACTACCCCCGCCTCACCCTCGATTTCCACACCAACAAGCGCATCGTCGATGAAGTTGTGCGTAGCCCTTTCCTCTGCCCCATCCCATCCCGTGGCTGACGCCCCCCCCCTAGGCCGTCGTCCCCTCCAAACGCCTGCGCAACAAAATCTCGGGCTTCACGACGCATCTCATGAAGCGCATCCAAAAGGGACCCGTCCGCGGCATCTCCTTCAAGCTCCAGGAGGAGGAGCGCGAGCGCAAGGACAACTACGTCCCCGAGGTGTCTGCCCTTGAGGGCGAGCTCGAGGTCGACCAGGAGACAAAGGTACGTTGTTACACCGCCTGCGATGTGTAGGCTAATCCTTGTCTAGGACCTCCTCCACGCGCTCAACTTTGACTCTATCCCCGTCACCGTCGCCCAGCCCATCATCCCCGATCGCGCACCCCGCCGCGAGAGGCGGAACGTTCCTGGCGCAGGCCGGTAGGAGGATGTCGCTACGAGGACCAGGACAGACTCGGTAGACCGCAGATAATGACGGTGCTTATGCTATTGTATGCTGTATGCCTAAGAATGCGATTCCTCCGATTGCATGTACACTGTCTGTGTGATTCTAGTACATAGGCGCGCATATATGCGTGTTCGGTCCGCCATGAAAGCAATGCAAGGAGTACTGTATATAGAAGAGCGCTACTGAAAACCATTGCGAAGCGAGACGAGCCGAGCGTACGCCACCGTTGCGCATGGTGCACGGTACACGGACGGCGAGAACAAGACATCCTAGCATTACTCATTTCTCACAACCTTTCACCATTAACGCATGTCTGACATCTGTTTGAAGGACGAGGGATGGAAGGCATAAAATGCGCCACAGAAGATCAAAACAATTGTTAGGGCTCCCTGATGCATTCCCTCTAGCCGACTTGAACGACTGACCTCGTCATGCTCAACTGGATGTGACACATACTAGTGACGCGCTCTACCACTGAGCTAAGAGGGATGTTGTCCACTGCTTGCTGCCCCACCACGGTCCACGGCACTGACGAACCAAGTAGAAGAAGGCGGCGTCGCGATCGGCACTCGCTTTGTGAAGACACCACACGAACTCTCTCTCCGGATTCACTATGCAATCGCAGTGGTCCTCTTGTAGTAAGGCGGGCTGTGTCATGCCTAAAACTTCCTCCAAGAACCAAGTCGAAGCGTGGCGTACGAGGTACGCTCGGAGTCTGCGAAAAAAGTTCACTATGAAACCGACTCCACCACATTCCCTCTAGCCGACTTGAACGACTACTTAGTGATGCACTCTACCACTGAGCCAAGAGGGATAATGCCGGATATTCACGACGGCTTGATCACAAGAGAAATTGAGGGTCATTGGACACGACAACAGACTAGAGGGGAATGAAAAAACCACGCAGAGTTTGGGAAGGACACGTCGCACACAACTCTCTCTCTTTTGTGTCCTAACCCTCTCCGGATTCACTGCTATGCACTCGCATGGGGACATATCGCGTACTTGGAGGTTTTCTTTTCTTTAGTGACAACACAAGTCAAAGTGGTCAAGTTCTTTTTAGTAGCCTGGCCGTAAGGCGGGCTTCAGTACACAATGCGACGTGTCCCCCAGTACAGACTGTAACATGATGCCTCACCTCCGAAAATATCCAAGGCGGACTTGCCAGCGAGTCACTGTAAACGCACGGTTATTGGCTAAACGCATGATGGCTGAACCTGGATATGGGACCCCAGTGCGCGTAAGAAGACCGTGTTCGGCGCCCGTTCCTTCCGAAAAAAGGACACCGTCATCTCGGGAATGTTCAGTCGCCTCAGGTCAATGTAAACTTGGCCCTAAACACGCAGATCTCATACCTACACACCAAGCTTCAAATCCAGCTCTTGATATCGACTCCCTTGGTCCCATTGAAGTCTGGTGTGGACGATGATATGCTTGGTTGAAGGAGGGATCTTGAGCGGAAGGCCAAAGTTGCTGCGGTTAGCAGGAAGGAGGGAAAGGAACCGCAGAAATACGGACCTCTTGGATAACGGATTCGGCGAAGCGTCAGCCGCTCTCCTGTCAATGAGGTTGGCGTTATTGTTCGGTGTTGTTGATATGGGGTCTACAGTTGGAAAGAGGCTTCGCGAGAGAAACGGCGATCAGGGCGAGCAAGAGGCAAACGACGTTGGTCGAGCGAAAAGTCACAGGAGAGAAAGCGATGAATAAGTAGTCAACCAGTGGCTATAGAGAGTGAAAGTCGTGTAGTCGCTTTGATAAACTCAGATGGTGCCGGGAAGGCAGCCGTGCCGGTGTCAAGGTAGATCCTGTGTTCGTAGTGTAGTGTGAGTCATGAGGAAGGCCGCAGTTCGCGATTCGAGTCACTTGGGCAGATTTCCGCCCCCGCGGCAGAGAGATTTCCTTCTGGTGTGACTATAGGCAGGACATTACGAGCTTCCAGTTGACTCGGACGAGCATGCATCAGTGGTATTGATCTATGAGTTACCAGAGAGTACGAAGATTATTGCTGAGAAGGAGATGGTCGTTTTGGATAAGTAAAAGCACGTCGATCATGACACGTACACAGGACCAAATAGTACACGCGTCACACCATCATTCAGCAACTTCGCGGTCAATGCGTGCCAGAGGTAGCACGCGTTCCACTTGCACGCTGGAATGCTCTGGGCCCCCAACGATCCGAACGCATGCCCTCTGTCCTGGTTCTGCGACTCCAAACAACAAGGCTGTATGACCCAGACCACGGGAACACGTCTCTGATATCCAAGCATGCGTTACGATAGTACGTTTCCTAGGAGCAGCGCCTCCTCTGCGTCCCTTGTCTGAGAGCAGACGTGGAAACCTGCGCAAGTATATTCCGGACTCGAATCTCGAAAAGCAGTCTCTCAGGACTCACAGCCGCATGTTGGGCTATACTACTATGCTACGAACACAGGATCTACCTTAACACTGGCCAACTTTCTGTGGCCGCGGTAAAAGCTGGCGGTCGGTTTTGTCTCCGTTCTTGTCTTTCAACGACCCTTGGCTTGATGACGCTGCCCTCTGCACGTATGATATCACACTCGCCTTCTTCTTGCTTGCCCTGGTCACCGTCTCTCTCGCGAAGCCTTTTCCCAACTGCATCTATACCAGACTCGATAGCCCCAGCAGCTGCATTAATCCCAACGCCAACGCCAAGCAGAGGCCGCGGTGGCGGCCCAGCCGACGCTGTTCTACAGATCGCCCAATCCATTACCCAAGGCATTGTTGACGACATTGACAACGTTAACGAGGACAACGAGTATATGTATGAGTATGAGTTGGGGCTGACCGCTCCTGCCACATCTTTAGCCTCCGCAACCTCCAGGGTCGCTCCTACTATCGTTGGCTGCTATCTATTCTGCAACGGAACCGAGATCTACATCTGGAATATACTAAAGCACATACTAATAGCATAGTTAGATGAGCCTAGAAGAGAGCCTCAGAGATAAAGCCAGCTGAAGACCTAGGCAGTTGTAGGCGCGACACTCGACGTGGACGCACGCGGCCGATCGGAATAAATGTGCATTTGGACACCGAACCGATAGATTCTTCTCACCCTCTATGTCCGCTTCGTCGTCTTCTACGGCGGCGTCTGCGATCTCGTCGCTCTCATGCTCGCACAACGAGCTCGCCGGAACAAACATGACTGACTCGTCGAACAGTGTGAACACTTCAGAGACGTACCGCCCAAAACGAGCACACGAGGTGCGTGTTTCCTTCCTCCTTTCCCTCCTTTCCCTCCTTCCTAATGTCACCGCAGATACTGATGACATTGACAGTTGGCCATCTCTGAATGATGCACAGCTAGAGTTCTTCGGATCTACCTTGATGTCCTTGGTTCTCGGTTGATGCGCACGGCCTCATGATCTGCTGTTAATGCTGTCCTGTAACATCTTCAACGCATACCACGACTACGCCATAGCTCGCGATGTCATGGCATACCATTTCTCCCTACCACACCACATGGCTTATTACCAAAAAAACGCTTCAATGTTTGCAGTTCTTCTATGCGCCCTGGCGAGACATAACAGCTATTCCCCGCGAGGCGTCTCGCACTGTCATCGAAGTCCTGCAGAAGGTACTATTCTGGCTCTTGTCACAACTCTTGCGCATCTTTACACTCGCCCAGGAATTGGACTCAGGACCGTCGAGCCAGCAGTACCGGTCGACATGCATCAAATGTTTGCGAGTTTTAGTACGGCATCGCGACATGCTTCCCTCTTCCTTCTTTTGCCGTAATGTTCGGCGCGTCGGGACGCATCCCGTTTCGGGAGGTGGATTTGCTGTTAGTAAACTGTTATTGAGCGAGACGTAATCAATGTCAAGTTTCGATCATACAGGATATCTGGAAGGGAAGCATTGCAGGTAAAACGGTGTGCGTGAAGGTTCTGCGGTTCTTCAGCGCGAACGCGACAGGCCAAAACCTGGTAAAAGTGAGTTTTCCCCTTACTTCCTGTCGCCCACTCTCATTAAGCTTTGAAGGACTGCTTTCAGGAGGCAGTCGTGTGGAAACAGTTGAAGCATCCAAATGTGCTACCATTTCTTGGCGTGAACCAAGACCTTTTCGCACCGAGCTTCTGTTTAATCTCTCCATGGATGGAAAACGGCAACATCATCTACTTCCTCAGCAAGCATCCGACTCACAATCGACTGCAATGCGTGCGTTAATCCTCTTCAGATAAGTTGAAGATTGAAATGGCACTTAGACATCTTTGTAGCTGCTTGAAATTGCGGAAGGTTTGAAATATTTGCATGAGCTGGATCCCCAGATCACTCATGCAGACGTCCGAGGAGTACGCTCCGCCCACTTTCCTTTCCTTATTTCCGGACTGATCACTCCAAGGCCAATATCCTTATAGACTCTGAGCGGCACTGTCTTTTAGCAGACTTCGGTCTTAGTCTAGTGTCCGAAACGTGCCTTCCTGGTAGTTCGGCAATCCTGAAAGGATCCCTTCGCTGGCTTCCTCCGGAGGTGATGGACTACTCTCTCTTCGATCCCGCTTATCTCACAGCCAGAGATATATACTCTTTCGGTTGCACTGTCATCGAGGTACTAATATATGTCCTCAAGATCACTTGAATTCATCCGCTCACCGTAAGTCTAGATTTACACTGGGAGGCCACCTTTTTCGCACATCAAGACGGAAGTATCGCTGATCAACGAGGTCCTCACACAGAAGCGGAAGCCACCCCGTCCACCCCTCTACGAACTGTCTTCCGACGAGCTTTGGAACCTGGTCGAAGCATGTCTCGCGAACCTACCTCAAGATCGTCCTTCGATAAACACAGTCCTGGCATGTCTGAAGCTCATTAACGTACCGTGCACCTGTGTAGCTGCTCTCAGGAACACGTTGGGTATAGCACCCCGACGGGAGAGAGCATTACCGGTAGAGCCTTCAATTCGTCGGAACCGTAATGCAGTATCGCATGTGATAAACCAGCTCGTCCCAATCGCAAGCGTTAACAGAGCCGAGAAGTCATGTAAGCTCTCCTCCATTTCAACGATTGACCAGTGCCACTCACGGACTTCCAGCACCGATCCATTGGGTACGATGCATTCCAATTGGTTCAGAGGCTTACGTCCAAACCTACCGCGCTATCGATACAAGTTCCGGCAAGAGGTTTGATATTGTTGTCAAGCAGGTTCAGACGATTCTGAGCCCTGATTTATCCCGAAGCCTTCGACGCCTTTCCGATATCCTTCAGGCCTACCCCCATCCAAACATTTGGACTCATCTGGGATTTGAACAAACTCCTTCATCAACTAATATGTTCGTCGGCTGGTCATGCTGCTTCCCCCAGCTGAAGAGTCCGTGTAGGTTTTTCGAATACTTTCCTAGTCGAACGCTGCAGGAATTCCTCGCGCAACGAGGAGCACTTGGGTTCTCTGGCATGAGCAGGCACCTGTTGGGGCAAATTATAAGCGGCGTTGCCTTCTTGCACTCCAAGGACATCGTTCACTGGGTGCGAAA